TGAATGTTGTGGCAGGAGAAGTGAACCTATGAGTCCTGATTGAAGCCTTTATCATGCTCTGTTTCTTATTTGGATAGCCTACTTATTGCTATAAAGTTATTGCTATATTCTACCAGTGATAAAGGCAAAAGGAAAGAAGGACCAACAGCAACAGCACGTACAGAAAAGGTAGAATACAGCGTTTGATGTTAAAGTTCTATTTAGTACCTGAATACGTCCCAAAGATAGACTGAACACTATGCTAAATGTTAGGTATCTCCCCCTCAAGTCCAGTGACTTAGCACTGTGTAGTGAGCCATGATCACAGTACTGGAATTAAAGCACTCACTGCAAGGTTTGTAAATACTCACACCTCAAAACTTGTCTTCCTATCCTTGTATTTGGTATCTGTAAGCATTTGTCCTCATTTCCACCGAAGTGGTTACTGACAAGGATGTTTCAGCAAAAAGAAAAGGCTAATACTCAAATATATCAATGGATGAAACTTTGAAAATAATAAATATTAGTATTAATAATGACAAAACAACCCTAATAGTTGTATTTCTGCAGCTAAGGAAAATGAAGATGCTCTGAGCAATCTGAATCGGCTAGCACAAGTAGAATTCCAGACACTCAATACTAAAAGAGAAATTGCTTATCATTTCTGGATGTTGTCTAGGAAATGCTGTTTCTGGAATTTGTGTAGATAGATTTATCTATGTTGGGGAGTTTAGGGGAAAAAAACCCACACTGTTTGCAGAGCTCCTACTGTGTAACCTGTTCTGTTCCTCAGGTGCAGACTGGGGACTGCCTATGCCAACCCAGAGAGAGATCCTGTCACATCTGGATCATCCCAGGACAGAGTTAAAACATCACAGATTGTCCATTCTAAGAGCATCTTTAGTTGATGCACAAGTCTGTAAAGAATAGGCTCTGTGGGAATCAGCCACAGGAAGTTTCTTCTGCTGAAGATGCCAGGACACCACCTGCTCAAGAGGTCACACTTGCTAAGCACTTGCTGCCTTGGAAGGCCATTCCAAGCTAAACTCACTGTCAGCTTGTGAAACCCTATTTATTAAGCCATCTAAAGTAAACAACTGGAAGCCAAATACCCGTGAAAAATCCCTCAAAGATCCTGGGACACTGGTGCTTTTTGCAAGCAGACAGACAGGTCTGACGGAGGAGTTCAGTCTCTTCCCAACGCCACCGAAGCCTTGGAAGTCTTTGCTCATTTTCTTCCCAGTTGCTTATTTGCTTTTCTACTTGCCCAGTCAAAGGCTGCAGAGCCACAGCCCCAAGGCTGCCTGGGAGGGCTCCCAGCACCCGAGGGGCACTGGGACACTTGTCACACTGCTGGGGTTGGGGCCACTGCTCTGGGTGATGGGCTAGGCATGAAATGTCTCAGCCGCAGGTTCCTCCCAGGCAGGTTTTGGCTTTCCACCGAAGCACACCAACCCCAGACAATGTTTGAGTGTTGTTCCTGGATTCCTGCAGAGCTCTGTTCCTTTCTGTGGGACTTACTGCTGAAACCTAATCACCTTTTCCTTCTTACTGCACTGTCAGAAACAGAATCCTTTTCTCTGACAATAATTTAAACCCTTAAAAGCCATTTTTTTCTCTTGCAGAACCCCTGAATTTCAGCTGGAAAAACAGTCCTAATCATTGTAAAGCTGTCCAAAGGAAATGGGAATTAATTTCAATCATTTCTTTAGTGGGTCAGCATTTATCTTCTAGACCGTGACTGCCAAACCTCTGTGCTGTCTGGAGTACTTTTGTTTTCAACAAACCAACAACCAAAACGCAGCTGAACTGCATAAGTGAGTAAGAGAATGAGGCACAGATAGAGCATTTAGTTCAAAAAAATATCCAGTTCTCTTGTGCCTGGGGGGGATGGGGAAGGGGAGAAACACTAGCATCTCTTTTCCAAAGGAATTTGTTCCACCAGCAGTACTGGCCACCCTGTTAAGAGTTTTAGAAGATCCCTGAGCACATTAGTTTCTGACTCATAACCCCAGCTCCAAAGTGATTGGGCTCTGTTGTTGGGAACGAGATGGATTGTCATTCACAGTTAAGTCAATCATAAGGTGCTTATCTATTTACCCTTTTTTGTTCACCAATCAGCACAAAGAACTGTCAGAAAATAACTTTTATTTTTCTCTTTTTTTTTTTTTTTAAATAATAAAAGGGCACAAAATTGAAACAACCAATGTTTTGTGACAGTGGTTTAGGATTATTATCTGGCTGCCCCTCAACAACAGACAAGTGATTCAATCGACATTCCTTAGCAAAAAAAAAAAAGAAAAAAAAAAAGGAGAAAAAAAAAGGAAAGAAAAAAGGCAAAAAAAAGAAAAATCCTGTACAAATATGTATTTTTCCCTGAGGGATCAAGGTTACACCCGCAAGTGCTCTATGTACATATTGCACTGTAGAGGAATGAAGAACATGTGCAAAAAAAGCAACAATGATTGAAGCTTACTACTCAAACCTTTACTCATGACTCTACGTCACCTTGCAGTTTGGAATGTCGGAACACAGCTATTCCTTTACTCTAAAATGTAAAAAAAAAGACCCCAAAAACAGAAAGAAAAAGAAAAAACACACCTCTACTATGGCACATTCAATGAAATAAAAAGTTTTCCAAAGACAAATAGACAAATTCCATCAAGAAAATAATACAAAGTTCGTTCGTTTGTTTTTTTTCGTTTTTTAGAAAAATTACATTACTTTCTTTCATTGTTTCACATTACAAAATCTTTTTTTTTTCATGTTTACACAAATCACATTTTATTGCAGGAATATTTCAAGTGCCATCAAACATTTATAGAAGGGTTAAAAAAATAGAAGTCTCTCTAAAGTGGTCCAGACAAGGCTTTGTATAGAATAAATCTTTTTTTTTTTCCACCTTCTATTTTTGACTTAAGTATTTTGAATACATTTTCTTTATTCCATTGACACTTAAGAGCCTGGAAGCAGCCACTCACACACACACCCACACGTCCCCACGTGTGCACACAGACATCCTCTCACACACAGGTGCACAGACACAGATACCTTGGTATCCGGACTAAGATAGAGAAGCTAATAAAGACCAACCAAACTTAAAACCAGCCTCCCTTTCTCCTCATCCCCTCGGCTGCAACAGCCAAACAACACTGGAGATGATGCTGTAGATTAGGGTGGTTCAGATGACAGTATGGGGTTGTATCTCTCTCCTAGAAAACATCTCCATGGAGAGATACAACACACAGTGAGAACATCTCTGTGAGGATCCAATATATTACTCCTTTTTTCTTCAGCTGTCCTAGTGTTCTGATTTGTAGTGAAGTGGGCAGATTATGAAAACACTCCTGTGAATATCCACTGGGCTCAATATGTTTTGTTACCTGTCTGGTTGATGTCCTGGCACCAGGCCCTGGTCCCAGGGGCTCTGCAGAGCTCTGGGCTCGCCGTGGTCTGTCTGAGCAGCCACTCCAGCCTGACCCTGTGCCCTCCACACAAAGCCTCCTTGGCAGCAGATGTCTCAGCTGAACATCTGCTGTGCTGTATCCCCTTTTTCCCCCTCTCAACGAAGAGCAAAACAAAAATGAGACTCTATTGCTAAGTGGCTGTTAACTGGGACCAGGAAAGCAGAGTTACTGGGGAGTGTATGCACAGCCTGATTTAACGAGGTGCCAGGACACAGGAGCTCCCACAGACAAAACCCACAGCACTCTGTGGCCTGCAGGATCACTTTCAGCTCAGGCCCTATCTGAGACCTTTCTGTGGTTATGTATTTTATTAGTAAATGCTCGAAAAAATTGCGTTGTCAATGGCTTATGAGTGTAAATATGCCAAACTAGATTCCAAACCAAACCACTGGCACCTTGGTGCCTGGTAAAGTACTAATATTCATCTCGAGAAGGTTAAAAAAAGATGTGACTGAAAGTGAATCCCAAAATATTTTGCCTGGTAGTCTACATATTGTCAGAAATAGGAGCTGTGTCTCACTCTCTAAAAAAGTACAGGTCTTACTTCATTACTCATTAGTTGACACTGAGATTAAGTTTAGTTGATCTTTACAGGACTAGCACCTAAGGCTGGTCACATTCAGAAAACACTTGTTAGTTAAAAGGGTTGCTTCAAAAATAGGAACACAGATCAGAATGCAAGTGCCATATCGTGCCAGTTACTCCAGTACAGTAAACAATGGTCCTCGAGGTGTTTGGGGGAGCAGAGTGTGGGTGTGAGCTGCCAGCAGCAGAGCAGCTCTGTGACTGGGGCCCAGAGCCCTGTCCTGGCTCCAGCCCACAGAGCTGCAGGTCCCACACTCCAGGGACACACTGCTTTGGAGATGATGCTCATCTCCCCCTCCTTTCAAACCCTAGAGAAGTGAGAGCTCTAGGCTTCCCTGATGTGCTAGACTGTAACGTTTTTAATAGGTGTCATAGCTAAATGTCTCAATTTGACCCCAAAGGGAACCTGGATCACAGCACAGACCTGTGTTTTCCTCACAATAACCCACTGACCTGATTCTCCTCTTCAAAACACTTGGGTTTCAGTGTGCTGCTACTCACTGTTAGCTCCAAACAACTGTAACCTATGTCAGAGGCTGTTTACCTCTGTAGAGTAAAGCAGTGGAGCACACTGTGCCTCATTCCTTCTCCTTTTTAAAGCTCCCAGCTTTTTCTTTCCTGCTTCCTCAGAAACTTGGTTTGTGCAGGCCCACAGGGCACACAGTGCTGCATCTCCATCTCACCCACAGCCAATCACACACCTCTGGCTGCAGCAGCCACCTTGGTTTGTGATGTTGTTTACTGTGAATCTGCTTCCTTCAGAACTAGGTTTCCTGCCAGATTTGCTCAGAGACAGGATTCTTGCTGAAGGGAATGGGAATTCACAGCACTGCAAGATTCAGCTCATTGGTGGTTATGCAACAGAGGGACCAGTCGCAGGAGGGAGGCTGATGACTCTCATGATTCCCAGGCATTACACAGAGTACCAGGCAGTGCTTTCTAGCAGCACTGTGCCTTGGCTTGGCTAGTCCTCAGCTGACAGACCTTAAGTGTGTCTTTTTGGGTGAGGAGAGCAGTGGACTCCTCTGCTCAGCTCCCTGCCACTGACCTGCTGCTGGAAGAACGTGGCCCAGTGTCTCAGCTCGCTGAATCAAACCCACCTCTGTGTTTTGCCAGGCTAGAGCTTGGAGTCTGAAGGCATTGTTTACTATATGGAGTGCAAAAGTATGTCACATTAGGTATAAAAATGACTCTTCCACATACATGTCATACACACATACTTTTACTGTAGATACAGACTTGAGTAAATAGCTTCAAACCTGGTTTGGGGTGGGCAGAAATGCACTGGTCACTAGCCTGATTTTCAGAGCTGCTGTGTTGTTTGTAAGTGATCTGTGATTGCTTAGTTTGACCCAGCACCTTTGAAAATGAGGACGTGGACTGTGCACCTAAATTAGAAGTTAGGCATGTAATTGCCAACGTCCAGGTTTGAAAGGTTTGGAAAGAAAAGTACCTTTGAATTTAACTTCTGAAAAGATTATTTTCACGTCGAAAATTGTCATTATTTTCAACTCTTTTTTTTTTTAAAAAAAAGAAGTGTAATCATTTCAGGATATGACCAGCCTCTCTTTAAAAAGTAACATGGAAAACAGCAGCATAAATACCTCCCAATGTACCAGTACCTGCCAAACCTTTTTCAGTTAAACTTGAATTTCTGGTGCACATGCAACACAACAATGAACACGCTAGCATTTAATTTAAAGAAAAAGGTGCAAAATGAAAGTGCCTTATCAATTCAACAAGAAAAGCTATACCAGTAACTACATTTTATATTAATTAAAACAATATATAAACAATATCTCTTTTGCTATATATAGTCTTCATGCCCATTTACCCTGTAATATATTATAATGCTATTGTTGCTATTGCTATGGACCCTTTTCATGCCGTTCTGTCTACTGGCAAACAGTGGTAGGTGAAAAAAAATCGTCCTTCATGAAACAATGAGCAAGTTGTGCAAACTGATGCTGAAATCTCTGCAACGCACACCAGTCGCCGATTACTAGGTGGACTCTCTGTTCTGATCAACAAATTGATTGTTCTGTCAAGAGTCTGGGCAGTGAACTACAGGAGAAAACAACCTTCTGACATAAGTACCCTCAGTCTGTGTAAACAGAGGTCAAGGATTGAGAAGTTGAGACAGAAAAAGGGTCCATATTTGTAGGCATAATGGAAATCATATGCATGAGAAAAACAAGTTCAACTTGGTTTCATTGTTTCCCATCCTTCGCCTGACCCCGACCGCCAAGAGATGTGCAGTGTGTTGGCTCCCTAGGTCTGTGCAGGGCCATATAAAGTGTCTTGGTTTTCTTTCTTTTTTTTTTCCTTTTTGTTTTTTTTTTCTTTCCTTTCTTTTGTTTTAATGTTTGTACTTCAGACATTCTAGAAGTGCTTAGGTGATACGTTTACCCATCAATTTGCATTGCTGGCTCAAACTCTGAAGTGAACAACTCCTTGTAAAGTGGAGGAAAGTGAAGTCGTACAATGTCTGGGTATATTGCTTTAAATGCCATAAGCTTTTCTGTATGTCGTCCACACAGTGCTCTTAAAGTAGACACTTTGCATATTAACTGTAAAAAAATGAACACAAGTCATATGGTCATACATGGCACCAGCCTCCCACTCTGCTGCAAGGGCCAAAGCCTTCCCCAGCACAAGGGTTTTCCTCAGCAGTGGCAGCTGGGGATGTTTTTAAAGGTATCTAAGTTGTGGACTCACAGCTATTTGTGAGATAAGCTCTAAGTTCCTAGGAAAATCTACCATAGGGTTCCCTCAGTGGATTGATACAGAAGTATTTCAGGGCTGGATCCTCATTCATGCAACTAAATCATCCTCCTGGAAGGCAATCCTGACTGCTTTTAAACCCACTGGAGCATTATGGAGGGAACTGCCAGTGCAATAGAGCCAAAAGAGGTGAAAAATGTGTACTTAAAAACATCACTGGGGTACTCCCTTAACTTCCTGAGTATTTGTATCAAAGCATATGGAAGAAACTTTCTTCCAGCAAAGGTATCCAAAGTACACACTGAGAAAAGAACTCTCTGAGACAGGATTGGCAGTGAGGGAGATCTGCACAGCCTGGGCTGGTCATCCTGCTCCTGCTGTCATGAGCTCCATGGTGTGAAGCTAAGCCTGAGCCTTGTGGCTGTGCAGAGTTCTCAAAGGAACTGCTCTGTGAGGAGGTGCCTGTCCTTCCCCAGTTCTTCAGGTTTGCCCTAACATCACACCACTTGGCCAGCTCTGAAAAACCAGGTGAGGAGACTTCAGATTAGAGACCAGCATGTAGTGTCTCTTTCACGGGGCTTCAGTGCATGGAACAACTGAGAAAAAGGCTGGGGGAACTTCTAAGAAACAAGTTTAGCTTGGGCATTGCATATGTCATAACAACTGAACTGCCATGCAGAGACTGCACAAGGAGAGAAACAAGTTTAGCTTGGGTACTGCATATGTCATAACAACAGAACTGCCATGCAGAGACTGCACAAGGATTGAGGCATTGCACCCTGCAGAACTAAAACAGTGTTCTGTGGGGCAGAAATGTTCTGTAGGGGAACTGAGATAAAAATTTCATCACTTTTCATGAAGTGCCACATGAAAATACTTCCTTTCAGGCCATTATCAGCCTTGTGCCCTGGTGCATCATCAGTTCACCTCTCTAGTTTTTGGTCACAGGTTCAGCTAAGCACCTTGATTTTGAACAAAGAGTTCTGGGTGGATAAATAGCAAATTCACTGTGTAAAAGCTCTCACACCACAAGCAGGATGGTGACAATAGGAAGGTACAGCCCAGTGGGACTCTTACCTTTGTTAGAATTCCATCCTCTCGGTGGTTCTTCTGCAGGACGTGCTGAAGTGCTAATTGGATCTTCTGCTGGAGTTTCTCGATTTTGACCTTCTCCTGCAGCCATGAGCGATCTGAACACAGATGGAGTTACCACCTCTGGCACTGCACCCAGCGAGCACAGAGCACAGGAACAGACTCATCCCGGCTGTTTGCAGCCTCCCTGCCACTTCTGCATCTCACACAGACACTGGGGCTGCAAATCCACAGCTCTGGGAGCACATTCGTTATATGCACTTAGAACTGCTTTTATAAAGGCCTTAATGAGAAGAATGCAGCGTGTCTGGGCAAGGTTCATTACCCTTCTACTAATGAGGTCTGTAAAATGCAAGGTATTTAAACAGAGGTAGTAACTTGTTAGTGAGAAGCGAATGGCTCAGATCATGAACAAGCAGCTGGAGTGGATCTTCTTGCTAGGACCTCCAGTGACTTACAAAAAGCTCAGCTGGGCACAGACAGCTAAGCTGCCTTGGTATGTGCACCACACAGACACAGTGCTGCTCCACAGACCTGAGGTGAGGCTGCAAGCTTTGTGTGCTGAGTGAGGATTCTGCCACAGCTGTGAGCTCACACATGTGGAAAGCTGACTGCAGAAATTCAGGCACTGCCTTCTGCCTGCCTCACCAGGATTAGCCCAGTGCTCTCACTCACTGCACTGAAGCTTTTGCAAAGCAGATGAGTCCTCAGCAAGGTGAAAATGTGGAAAGCAAGGACTTAAGATTAGGATTTCCAACTTAACACATTGATTCCTGAAGTCATAGTTTTAATGTGTTTATCAAAATAGAAATTCTGGCCAAGAAGGAGACACTCAAAAAGATGATGACATTCCCACACTGTCTGATAGTCTAAAAGTTATCATTAAAAATACCTCAAAGTAAAAACGACCTCTACCAAATAAACCTCAAGGAAACCTTCATCTCTTACCTGCTGACATTAAAACAAACGCAGAGAACAAAGCTATCTCATCTTCTGTCAGGTGCATAGAACATAAACTTTTTCCAAATTCAAACACAAAGCTAATGAAGTCTTCACAACCTGCCAAAAAACCAGAAGGTACAGCTCATGTCACATTGTTTAAAACTACTTGGGAGCTACAGAGTTGTTGATTTATTCTGATGGAGATGAGAAACAATGTAAAATACTTCATAGGTGAATGGTCTTCTCCTTAAGGACTGAAGTTCTGTGGTGGGACCTCAGGACCCCACTCCCAGGAGCCCCCACACTCTGCACCCAGGATTCTGAAGGCTTTGCACACTCTGTCTTTTCTACATTTGAAGCAAAGAATGCTCCAGGAATTGCACAGCATTCTCCACTGAGGTATTGTCACTGCCCTCCAAAGTGGCTTACACCCCAAAGCTTGGGGAAACACATCCTTGTAAAATTAGCAAAAATACACAGGAAAAACAATGCAAAATTATAAATTGGGCTTTAAAGAAAAAAAAATGGACTCACAGTATTTTACCTGCAAATAACTGGACCTGGCACACTATAAAACACTATTAACATCTTCAAAACAGTAACATCAGTGTATCCAAAATTAGCTAACCATCTCCTGCCTTTTCCAACAGGCTACAGAAAATGTTACAGTAGAGGTGAGATCTGGGCTTCTGTTCACAACAGATGCCTCCAAACTGCTCTACCCTAATCAAAATGTCCAATTTCCACACCAACAGCCCTTAACTGCTCAGAGTTGAGCTGTTTTGACTCCTGAAATCAGCTTGGCCTCAGAGTCAGCACAACTGCTTATAAAACAAGCAGTCTGAGCTTTGCAACTCTTCTGTGTGACTACTATAGCCTCTCTCCTTGCTTTCCCACATCATAGTTTTTAGCCCATTTTCTTTGAAAGACACAACACTTGACATTTCCTTACCTAAGGACTTGAAAACCTCTGGGCTAGCATACTTGCCATCAAAGTAGACTGTGTTGTTCTGGGAGTCAAAGGCACGGCACATTCTGATGAACACAACCTCTAAAGACCCTGGAACACAAACAGTGGAGGTTTGACCAGGGAAGGAGAGACTCCAGCTGCAAAGAGCAAGTGAGGACTTACAAACCATGCTCTGCATTCGTTAAGAGGAGGGTAGGAGGTTCCTGTGGTGTCACAGAGCACAGTTTGCTTTGCTAGTAGAAGAATTCACATAAACTCCTCTACGAGTTTTGGCTAAAGCAAATCAGTTAATGCTAATAAACTCTGACACTTTTTTAGAGCAACGAAGTCTCTGAAGCCAAAGCAGCTCATGTAGATTTATGTTCACGAAGCTTTGCCAGCTTGGTCTGGTATTTGTAAACTGCATTGCTTCTATATCTCTTGCAGAGAACAATCTCAATCTTTAGCTTAAAGTATGTTAGTCAAACCCAAAACAGAAAAACCTGAGTCCAACTCTTCCATCTTTACATACTCATTGCTCCCTTTGTTCATAATGAAACTTTCTTAAGTAAACTTGGACTTGTTCTGCCCAGAGTGACCAAGATGATGTCACTTCAAAGACAGACAGGTTTGAAATGGCCACTGCCCAAACAAAGATATGTGCTTGCAATCACTGGGTACACATAACACCTTCCTCAGGCAAATCTAAGAGAGACACAGCTTAGAACTCACCACGTACCTGCTTTTAAAAGCACAATTTGATCATTTTGACACAGCTCCATAAAGCCATCGATGCGTTTGGCAAACTCCACTACATACTGAATAGCTTCTGTTATTTTCACTGCGCACAACTGCCACATCACCTCCCTTTGCTGTTGGGAGAGAAGGAAAAAGGAGATATTACTGATCAGGGTTTGGAAAGCTCATTGCCATAAAGTCAAACTGAGTTATAAACAAAGCACTCCTGGCTGCAGTCTGCTCACGAGAGAAGGGGAACTGACCTCAAAGCCAAAGCCTCACATGGACGAATAACAACACAAACATGGAGAATTTTCTCAGCCCTGTCAGAAGAGCTCCAGACTGGAGTATTGTTACTTCACAAGCCAAAAATGTCAAAGTGTAACGATTCTGGTCATTTCCGATGGATTTTTGCTCACTGCATCAGAAGAAAATGCCAGTTCACAGCAGCAGTGCATAACCACATTTTCCCCATCAGCTCCTGTACAGAACCAAGTGAAGTAACAACCAGGACACACATACAGTATCCTTTACTTCCATGTATGAAGATCACTTGATAACAACATAAGGTGTGCAGTTGGTGAGTTTTCCATATGTTAATAACATAGAATGACATTACCTAATGCGGGAAAAATGGTATTTTTAGAGGTTACATATTTTTCTGTGGAAATGAAAAACATTTCACAGAGCAGTGTCCTTCAGCAGTACTTCCCAGGAGAGTTTTCCAAAAGGAGCCAACTGGTATTTGTGGATGGAAGGCACCTTGGAAATGCAGACACTGCTCAAACCTTACAACTCCCTGGAGTTATGGCAACACTTCTGCTGTTCTGTACACAAAACCCAACCCAAGGGATGTGTGGAGAAGGGACCAGGACTGCACTGAGCCCCTGAGGGCTGCAAATCTGATGGAGTTCTCTGCTTACAGACTCCAAAGAAAATCACAAAACTCGGTGGCTTCAGCTGTTGCTGATCTGAGACAACAAATTAAGAAAATAACATGCCATTTAGGACTGGGAGAAAAAAAATCCTCTGGTTTCTTATCCCTCTTCGCCACAGACAGAGAGAGGTGAGCAGAATGGCTTTGTATTTTCCTGTACAAATCACAAATGGAAGGATGTCCTGACCATCTTGCTGCTTTTAATCCTAGTGAACTTTTCTTTTGGAAAACACACAGAGACACACGTTGCTGCCAGTAAAGAGCAACAGGGGAGGAGTGAATTACGGGAACACCTTGGGGGGCTTGGCAGGCTCCGGTACCTTGTTCTGGTAGTTCTCGATCTCCTCCTGCAGAAAAGTCTGCCACGTTATCTGCTGCAGCTCCTCTCTCAAGTACTGGCAAGTTTCCATGTGTGACTTGGAAATATTCTGCGCAAGATGTTCTGAAAGAAGAGCAGAGAGCAGCAGGATGAGGACGCAGAGCTGTAGGGTCGGGGCCGAGCCCAGAGTGCACAGGGTGAGCCCAGAGCGGGCCAGAGTGAGCCCAGAGCG